TTTATCTAATTGCAGAATGAATAAAATGGACAGAGGCAGAACTGAAGGAGATGCATGAAATGGGGAATATTTCAAAGATCGCCTGAGCATAACCACTGCTACTGGATAAACATATGGCAATATAAAAGAGCAGGGTCAATGGAGGTGTCATACAGTATAGGCCATGAGAGACCCTGAAAAAGAAAGTATTGAACAGAAACAAAAATAAAATCATTTTGACATTTATTGAAATATAGAATAGAGTCTTACATGTAAAATTTGGGCATGTAATGACTTTTCTCTAGCTCTAAGACTTATAACAGTGATGATTTGATTTAATATCTTTATCCTGATTTGTCGAAAAGATTTGGACATAGTGCATCAATTATTTTAAAGTTTTCATACAACGAATTTATTCATTGTACTTGTAACTGAGTTTTCTGGTGCGACACTGTTTTATCGGCTTCAAAACCAAGTTTGTGATTTCCAAACCAGATTAATGAGATCATGCAATATCTTTTAACATCGGTGACTATTTAATCCATTCTTTTACACCTCAGAAGTATTTTTATTATTTCAGGGAAAATATGCATTGTACGAGGGCCGTTCAAAAATTACGCGGACTGTGCTGTTATTTACTCTTATAGACATCATATAGTTATGAAATTTCACAGAAATATGTATCTTAAAGATTCCAATAAATTTTGGGCAAAATTTTTGTATTTTAGAAAAATTCTACTAAAATTATCGCTATGTTGATATCGCGGATGGAGAGGTACGGAGCACGACAAAAAATTTGAAGCAAAAGCATGCGGAATTCAAAATTCAACTCATTAATTTTCTATAATTCGCGATATTTTTCGTCAATTTTCTCAAATGTATCTTTAAATTGCTCTGTTATTATGTATTTAGATTTCTGACATGATATTTGAAGTACTTACAGAAATATAGTGATTTTTTTCTGATGCGATTCCCGTGAAAACGACTGTGAAAATGACGTCTCCGGAATTGACGGCGCACCATACTTTTGTTAAATTATGTGTAGTGCTCGAGATATCGCCAACATAGATCCAAAATATGCATAATAAAACATGTAGTAAACTAGGGTATTCGTGACATTCGTCACAAATAGCTTATTGAAATTTTAGACCGTTAGACCTCTGTAAAAAGGCTATACGGGAGGACGGGAAGAAGATTATCGACGAAAACTTTATCCGGACTATAAAGAACGTGATTGAGAGTGATGAATGTCACACTATATCTCATAAATACCTGCAATTTTTGGTTTTACAACAAAAAAGAGTATTTTTTACTTGTTTAATAGATTTTAAGCTTGACAAGAAATGGTGTTTGGATGTTGATTAGATAGGGTAACTCAAACTGTACTGCTACTCTTGGGAAAATGTTGAGAAAATGAAAGCTCAATCACATATTTTTTTTTATAATGCCCGTGACGTCGAAGATTTTGCTGCTCCGTGACTTAATGATATGTCCTGAAAAATCACTCAAAATTGATACCAATTCACAACATTTTGATATGAAATTTTGAAGACCACATAAGTCAAGTTTCTTTTATATTATGTGTGACATTTTGCCCGATTATGTCGTCAAATATTTTTTCTGTGCAACAAGTCCGCGTAATTTTTGAACGGCCCTCGTACATGTATCTGTAATAAACAGGATTATAGAAATTTTCCATATAATACAACACAATCTTAGCAACTGAAGGCAAATATTTTATCAAGGGTGTGATCTATTTATCAATATGGCTTTCAGCATCTTGCTCTACCTGTAATGACTTGCTTCAAGTTCCAATATTTAAATTTAAATTTTGCAAACATGGTTATAAAATTCTTTAAAAGCCAAATAGTTTAGGCAGAAAATGCTTATATATTTCGTATCATTTGTAAAGTGTACACTGAATGAGATGTGGAATATTAGAATTAAAGTATTAAATATGTTTTGGACTTATGTATGCTTATGCAGATAAATTTGAATTCAACTAGGGAAGGTAAATGTCATACTTATTGGGTTTGCAATCTATTGCAAGAGTATAAATATCCAAGACAAATTTGACAATTTTAATGAAGGGTATAAGTAACCCAAGAAGAATTGGACAGGTAAACATCACCTGTTGGGTTTTATTCTAATGTTGGGATGTAATATTCAAGAAGAGTTGAACCAATGTCCAATACCTATTGGGTTTTCTTTCTTATGAAAAAAAAAATTGAGTAACCCAAGAAGAATGTCCAATACCTTATAGTTTATATACTATTGAAGGAATAAAATATCCAAAAGGAAATGGACAGGTGTCCATTACATGTTGGGTAGTATTCTGATGAGGGGATTCTCAAGAAACCCAAGAATTAGACAAGTGTCCATTGCCTGTTGGGTGGGATGTAGATATCCAAGAGGAGTTGGACGGATGTCCATTACCTGTTGGATGGTATTCTGATGAAACAATTAAAGAAACCCAAGAAGAGTTGGACATGTGTCCATTACCTGTTGGGTGGGATGTAGATATCCAAGAGGAGTTGGACAGGTGTCCATTACCTGTTGGGTTGTATTTTATAAGGAGATTCAAGAAACCAAAGAATTGGACAAGTGTCCATTTCCTGTTGGGTGGGATGTAGATATCCAAGAGGAGTTGGACGGATGTCCATTACCTGTTGGGTGGTATTCTGATGAAACAATTCAAGAAACCCAAGAAGAATTGGACAAGTGTCCATTGCCTGTTGGGTGGGATGTAGATATCCAAGAGGAGTTGGACAGATGTCCATTACCTGTTGGGTGGTATTCTGATGAAACAATTCAAGAAACCCGAGAAGAATTGGACAAGTGTCATTTACCTGTTGGGTGGTATTCTGATAAAACAATTCAAGAAACCCAAGAAGAATTGGATAAGTGTCAATTACCTGTTGGGTGGGATGTAGATATCCAAGAGGAGTTGGACAGGTGTCCATTACCTGTTGGGTTGTATTTTATGAGGAATTTCAAGAAACCAAAGAATTAGACAAGTGTCCATTTCCTGTTGGGTGGGAGGTAGATATCCAAGAGGAGTTGGACGGATGTCCATTACCTGTTGGGTGGTATTCTGATGAAACAATTAAAGAAACCCAAGAAGAATTGGACAAGTGTCCAATGCCTGTTGGGTGGGATGTAGATATCCAAGAGGAGTTGGACAGGTGTCCATTACCTGTTTGGTGGTATTCTGATAAAACAATTCAAGAAACCCAAGAAGAATTGGACAAGTGTCCATTACCTGTTGGGTGGGATGTAGATATCCAAGAGGAGTTGGACAGGTGTCCATTACCTGTTGGGTTGTATTTTGATTATGCATTTCAAGAAACCCAAGAATTAGACAAGTGTCCATTTCCTGATGGTTGGGATGTAGATATCCAAGAGGAGTTGGACAGATGTCCATTACCTGTTGGGTGGTATTCTGATGAAACAATTCAAGAAACCCAGGAAGAATTGGACAAGTGTCCATTACCTGTTGGGTGGGATGTAGATATCCAAGAGGAGTTGGACAGGTGTCCATTACCTATTGGGTTGTATTTTATGAGGAGATTCAAGAAACCAAAGAATTAGACAAGTGTCCATTTCCTGTTGGGTGGGATGTAAATATCCAATAGGAGTTGGACGGATGTCCATTACCTGTTGGGTGGTATTCTGATGAAACAATTCAAGAAACCCAAGAAGAATTGGACAGGTGTCCATTGCCTGTTGGGTGGGATGTAGATATCCAAGAGGAGTTGGACGGATGTCCATTACCTGTTGGGTGGTATTCTGATGAAACAATTCAAGAAACTCAAGAAGAATTGGACAAGTGTCCCTTATCTGTTGGGTGGGATGTAGATATCCAAGAGGAGTTGGACAGGTGTCCATTACATGTTGGGTTTTATTTTGATGAGGAGATTCAAGAAACCCAAATAGAATTGGACAATGTACACATGTTCAATTGTTCTTGGGTTGTTTAATCCCTTCAACATAATGCAACCCAACAGGTATTGGACACCTGTCAAATGACTGTTGGATACTTTCATTCTGTCCAACATGTAATGGGCATTTGCTTATTATTAATTGGTCATGACTCAAAAAGGTTTCTCCTTAAATACTTAATTTTTTTTTATTCAAGAAAGGTTGAACAGAGTCTGAGATGTGTAGAGTTGTGTTATCACAATTCAGTTTTTTTGCACTTAGGTATTCATATATTTTAGTATTAAATATTTTGAAATATACAGGTGTGTATCCTTATTGCTAAGAACAAATTAGTTAGGTGTTACAATAAAAGAGCTATATCACAGAAATTGACAAAAATATGGGTTCAAAAGGTTTTCAGCCTTGTCTGAATTTACCAGCAAATATTAAATATATGATAAATTTGAAATGAATAAAAAACAATAAGAAAAAAACCCAATAAAATACGGACACGAGGATTAATATCCAATAAGATTTGAACAGTAACTACCCAAATAATGCTCTCTCGTGTGTACACTTTTTTGTATCCAATAAGCAGTATCCAATAGGACTTGGACTTGATGCACCCAATATATAACCAAATGTGTGTCCGTCCGTCTGTCTGTCTGTCTGCAAACTTTTCACATTTTCGACTTCTTCTCAAGAACCGCTGTGCCAATTTCAACCAAACTTGACACAAAGTATTTTTTGGTGAAAGGGATTCAAGTTTGTTCAAATGAAGGGCCACGCCCTCATTCAACAGGAGATAATTGGGAATTAATGAAAATTTGGCGGCATATTTTAAAAATCTTCTTCTCAAGAACCACTGTGCCAGGAAAGATGAAACTTATGGGGAAACATCCTCAGGTAGTGTAGATTCAAATTTGTTCAAATCATGACACCCTGGGGTAGGGCGGGGCCAAAATGGCCGACCAAAGTTTTACATAGAAATATATAGGAAAATTCTTTAAAAATCTTCTTCCCAAGAATGACAAAGCCATAATTCATCATATTTATATGGAAACATGTTCAGGCAGTGTAGATTCAAGTTTGTTCAAATCATGACCCCCGGATGTAGAGCGGGGCCAGTATGGCCGACTAAAGTTTTACATAGAAATGTATAGGAAAATTCTTTAAAAATCTTCTTCTCAAGAATGACAAAGCCATATTTCATCATCTTATAATTTATATATGGAAGCATGCTCAAGTATTGTAGATTCAAGTTTGTTCAAATCATGGCCCCCGGGGGTAGGGTGGGGCCAATATGGTCGACCAAAGTTTTCAAAGATATATACAGGAAAATTCTTTAAAAATCATTTTCTGAAAAAAAAGCAAATCCATGATTGGTCATGGGACTGCTTTTTGATTTAAACTTTACAATAAAAAGCCATTTTCTACTTTTTCCTACCCCTAGTGCTCAGGTGAGCGATGTGGCCCATGGGCCTCTTGTTTTTTTTTTTTTGTTTTTTGTTTTTTTTTTTTTTTTGCTTGACAAGAAATTTCTGGGATTTGATAATTTTTCTTTGATTTTTTTTTTTTTATTTCTGGATCTGCGCCCTGAACACTACGAGCTATACCAACGAAGACGACAAACAACAAACTTTGGTCAGAAGAGCTACTGGTGTCATGATATATCTAACCTCTATTAAATTTTTTTTAATAGTTGGCGTCCCTAGTGAAGTACTACAATGGGACCAGGAGGCCAGAGAGCGGTATGTGGAGTACGCTAAGAGAGGAACACAGAAAGTCCACCACGCCCGGGGGATGATTGTAGGATGTGCTGGGGCGGGGAAAAGCACGTTACTTAAACGGCTGCTTGGTTGTAGTGAAGAAGAGATTAAGAAAGTAAAATCTACTGAGGGATTGGAGGTGCATGAGGAAATATTTGAATTATGCGACGAAACAAAGTCGCTAAAAGGTAAGATGCCAAGGCTACTGATAATTGAAATATCATAAAGCTTTTTATCATTGTAAAATATATGAAAAAATTAAACCATTTTTAGCTCACCTGAGCTGAAGGCTCAAGTGAGCTTTACTGCTTACATTTTGTCCGGCGTCCGTCTGTCTAGCTGTCTGTCCGTGCATCTGTCTTCTTCTCAAGAACCACTGAGACAATTTCAACCAAACTTGCCACAAAGTATCCTTGGGTGAAGGGGATTCAAGTTTGGCCACGCCCTCATTCAAGGGGAGATAATTGGGAATTAATTAAAATTTGGTGGTATGTTTTAAAAAATCTTCTTCTCAAGAAACACCGTGCCAGGAAATATGAAACTTATAGGGAAACATCCTCAGGTAGTGTACATTAAAGTTTGTTCAAATCATGACCCCCAGCGGTAGGGCGGGGCCACAATGGCCGACCAAATTTTTATATAGAAATATATAGGAAAATTATAACCTCGATTGACGTTAATCAAACTTTAAATATCAAATGTTAAGGGGGGACCTATGTCGTTCTACGTCAAAGCAGCGTTATGTGACGTCACAATAGCGACCTTTGTTTTTACCTGTTGACTTTTGCAACTGTGATATATGCATAACATTGTTATAATAGATAACGTACACAATTAATACAAAGAAAATTATTCATCAGTAATAACAGTTTTACTTGATTTATAGAGTTTGTGAATATTAGAATTCTCTTCCTTTGGTTGATAATTCATAGCAATTTCAGTTGTGAAGAAATACCTCGATGAATATAATATGAAATGCTGATATATCAGTGTAAAAAGATAAGATAAAATTCAGCAAAGAAAGAAGCGGCTTAAATAAGGATTATATATTTAATTTTATGTTTACCATTAATTGTATTTTCTGGATAAAACTAAATAAATTAAGAAATGCACTTGTACCTATATTTGCTTATTGATTTATAGTACAAGTAGATTTTATTGTACAAAGTCATTCCTAGGTTCTGATAGGTGTTAGTTGTTGACGGGGAAATGTGAGGGGGGGGGGCAGAATGATTGGAATGAAGAAGAAAAGAATTAATTTGTTTAAATTATTTCTAATCAAAACAAAATTCTCGTTTTTGGCAAAATAGTATAATATTCAGATGTTTGCTAGTGCTTACTTACTTTTGTCTTGGTGAAGAAAGGTCAATGATTAGGACACAAGAGTACGAAAATAAAAGGGAACTTCATATTTCTCGTTTATTTTATCATAAAGATATACTTTTTTCTTTGCTAAAATACAGAGACGAATCATTTCTTTAAAAAAATATGAATTACAACATTTTCACACAAAGACTTTTAAAGATATTACCTGTTATGCATGGCGGAATTGTAAAAAAAAAAAAAAAATACGACAAAACGGGGTGATACCTACATTGTGCTACATTATAATTTTTCATGCGAGGTCAATTACAATGAATTTGCCTTCATTTCAAAGATACAAGTCATATAAATTAGATACATGTTGAATTAGAAAGTGATTTGACATTTTGAGTTCTTTTTAGCGCATATTTAGGGTGGAACAATAATGTCTGAAAAAAATCTATTTTTAGCATTTCACACTGTTTTTGCACGTGCTCCTGTGTAAAAATAAGCATATAAAGGTATTGTTTTTAATATCTAAAAATTAGAAGCAAGTGGTCAGGAAAGAAATGTCAAAGTTTTGAAAATTTCACACAAAGACTTTTCGGACATAGGTCCCCCCTTAAATTAACGTTATTATCATGTTAAATTACCGTTAGGCACAATTGGCTGTGTATAGAAATGAAACGTAGACTGTGACTTCAAAAACCAATTTAATTTCCAGTTATTCGTTTGCAAAAATACTTCTCTCTTACATTTTGAATTTTACGGTAAAACTTCATAGGTAACTTTTCTATAGCTAGGATCAAAGAAAAGTAAAAGAAAACTTTGTAAATAAAATTAAAGTTCTACTGATCCGTACTTTTAGTTTTATAATCAAATTACATCAAGCCTAGAATTGTCTTCTTGTTTTACTGTTGGCATTGCTAGTAATATGCTTTGAATTCTAGTTACATTTCGTAACTAATTCTATTATGCATTTTAGCAATACTGATTGCTTCCCAGTTTATTTTTCAAAAGCTAATAATTTTTAAAATAACAATTTATTAGACATATGAATATGCTTTCAGTAAGACATGCGGATCACAGAAGTAAGAAAAAGAAGGCAACAAATATTGAACCAAAGACTCTAACTTTATTTGACTTTGGGGGACAATGTGCGTACTACGCCTGTCACCAGATTTACCTGACCAGGAGAGCTTTCTATGTTGTGGTGGTGGACGCCTCTAAACGTCTTGACCAGAAGGTGGATAAGGAAGTATGTGATCAAGATGGTAGTGTGTTCTCTGGATGGACCTATGGAGGTATAACTCTACTAAACTGCATATCTTTCTTTACATTTGTTACATATTTATATCTAAAGAGATATTTCTTGCAATAATTTCCTTAATTTAACCAACATCTAAACACTCGGTTAATCGGTTAATCCTTTTACAACCGGTCAAGAGAGAGATGCATATACAACTTGAGGTGGAACGAAACAGAAGAAATGTGTACTCATTTTTAGCGAAGTCCTAGGGCAGTCCCAGAGCGGTCCCACAGCGGTCCCAGAGCAGTCCCAGTCCAGGGGACTGCTTTCTGAGACTGCTTGGATGTCAGGTTGGGTCTGGTCGGTACTGTATATAATGTTCTACATTTCTACCGTTGCCATGGAAACGAGCAATAAGTGAGAATTCTTTGACAATAAGTGACAATTTCTCTCAGTAAGCATAAATTTTAAAGCTATATTTGTTCTACAGTTTCAAAGTGGTTTCCTGATAAAAAAAAATGAATTCGAATACAGCAGGTCTAACACTTCTGCCATCAGAACAAAGCTGTATTTTGGATAATCAAAGTTTTGTATTCGAGTGTTCTCGTACATCGCTCTCAAAATCTTTCTGATACTGGACAGATATAACAAAATGTGTTCATTAAAAGCTACGCACCCGGTGGGTAGAAAAATCGAAAAACTATTTTTAGCATGAAGGTCATAGTCGAGGTCATAAGGCCATTGCCTTGGTGACATTTGGAAAAATTTATAAATTCTGTACGAATACTAAATATGAAGTCTATATCTCTAATGGTTATAGAATTATGGCAAAAGTTATTTCAGGTATGGTTAGTTTACAGCGTTCGGCGCGTTTTCTCGACATGCATCAACTGCATAAAAACATGCAAATCAAAGACGCTGCTTGTTCCATTCAAATGATAAATAATTTCGAGATGTATTACATGTAACAAGTTTTTTCTTGCTTTTTTAAAGTTTATTTTAAATATATTGACAAATTGTTAAAATAGGTACTCGCTCAACAATATTTTTCTTCCAAACTTGCATTTTCTTCTTATTTTAAAATCGTGATTCAAAACAATGATTATTCACAAATATCGTTATGACTGTTTTATATGTTGTAGTAGATATGTCTTGAAATGTTTTCAAATGTTTTACTATTGGAATTAAGTACAAGTCTGTAGCCAAGTCAAAAATCCATCAAGTGTAACGAACGCATTGGGTTACATATTGTTACAGTATGATTAGGTATATGTATCTTAAACAAATATGGCAGAATGTGGCTATTAGTAGGTATAAAACAAGTCGTACATAGATGAAAATGCTGGGTTTTTAGAATTCATGTCAGCTTTGCGAAAACATGAAATGAATGTTGATAACGAACTGTATTAAAGCTAAAAAGTCCATAAAACAATGCAAAACAAGAACATGCAGAGCAAATAGAGACCCTCGAAACATCAGGTGTAGGATCAAGTGCAATAGAGAAGTGAGCATCCCCTGCAGACCAGTCACTTTTGCTGTGTAATTTAAAATATACACACTGAATAACAACTTAAGAAATTAAACTTCACATTTCTGAAACAGAGAACTATTACTGCAAGTACTCAAAAAAGTGAAACCTAAAGTATACATTTTGGTTCCTTCCTAAACACAGAAGTGGCTTCTACTAAAGACAACATTAAGCCTTGAGTAGAACACGCTAGGAACACATGCATCCTGTATAGGATTGCTTGAGAAATAAAACGAATGTAGCTTTTGTACATCTAATTGAACATTTTCGGAATCTGACATCGTACTACGGACAGCAGACTTCAAACAATAGGGAGCGTATAAAAATACATTTTAAAGCATGTGTATATACCGTACATTGAATATCTTCTCGTAATTCGTTTTTACACTGCTAGACTTGTTTTCAACATGTCGAGACCATTAAATTTCCTGACGTCAGCATAATTTTGCATGTAAATTTGCATGTAAATTAGCTATCTGTTTAGTTTACCTACTGCTGAATGAGCCGCGATGCATAGTGGGATATTACAAGTACCCATCTGTGTTGAAAATAAAGGCAATTTGAATAGTTCCTAGGAAAATTATTATCAATTCTTTTTTGAGATTCGTGAAAGGAAATTTTTAAAATGATGTATAATCTTTCATTTCTATGCTCATATTTACAAATCTCGGTTTTTTGAAGACTTATATCAACTTATAATACATCTGCCTAACCCATTGCTCAAAGAGACGTAGGTGCTATCGTGTCGATAAAACATAGTGTTTTTTCACGTGATATACGTGTACATACTGTTAGAAGGTAGTATATTTGTCCTTGGTTTCAGACAGCAAGTGAAGGTGTGCAATCATTATTTAGCCCCTCAATTTTATCAAAAAGTGTTTTATGTACATCCAAACGTCAAAGCGTTTGTACGGTATTTGAAGCAACTATTATATAATCATCTAAAACAATTCTAATAATAAATGTTGGCATGGAGTTATATCTTTAGAATATAATCTTTCAATTACGGGCTTAAAAGTGATCAAGGAGCTCTACAGTTGTTCCGGTGACGAGTTAAACATTGTGCAGTAAACCGATCAAAATCACGTTTCACGTGCATTTGAATATTAAACACGCAGTAGATTGTCATGCTTTGGGACTAATTCACTTGATTGGAGAACGGGTGTGACGAAAACATCGTCACATGATGAAAATTGCCTTCCATACACTGAGCCAAACTTCTAAGTGTTCACCTAACATTTTTGAAGTTTTAAAGAACAAATGCAAAGTATGAATAATTTCTTTAATTCTTGGTTAATGATGCATATTTAAGTTCGATGTAGCGTAAATTTCATTTGAGTATCTCGTCAGACTTTTAAGCAAAGTTTCATGGAAATGATGTACCCTCAAAATGAAAAAAAAAGAATGAATCCTCTTTACACTGCAATCTCGCCCCTTTTTAAATGCAGAATTTTACCCTTTTAAATAAGAACAGTGTTATCTTATAGCTAAAGTCTTCAAGTATAGTCTGTATAGATACTAATAAAATTTTTTTTAGGAAAGAGACTTTGAATATCTACATGATATCGATTAAATAAAGTCGCATATTTCACAGTAAAACTTCGCCATTCGCTATATATAGGCCATTGTAGTATTAGCATTTGAATGGGAAGGCGGGGCGTCTATCAAGCGTGGATTAGTATGAATAGATTAGCGTGTGTTCGAAGTGTACTACTTTTTATGCTGAAGTGACACCTAGAAGCCCCCTTTTTAGTGCAAGAGACTGAATCATATAAGCATTCTTTTTTTTTTAATTTGTCAGGCTTAATTTTTTTTCTGCTTAAATTACGATTTATATTTGATATTATTTATTATAAATTCGTCAAATTATTTATATATAAATACACACAATGGAATTTGTGATTAGAACGTATAATGCAGGATTCACTCTTTTTCATACTTATTTTTATAGAGATAATAATCAATCCATTAAAGCTTATAATTAATTTGCTTTTTACTTGCGAAGTTGGTGTGCTACAACAAATGCGGTTGAATTGTGATATAAAACTTCTCTCTGTGTATGAAAAATAAATTCGCAAGAAAGTGAAAATTAAACGTCAGTTTAACGTCAATATTATTGTTGCTAGATATAAAAAAAAACCTTCAGTGTTAGACAAGTGTACTTTGTATATTCCAGATTGCATTGTGGCAACGCACTTTGAAAAAATTACGCACTTTGAAAAATTTTTTCAAAGTGCGTAATTTTTGGGACAAAATCAACGCACTTTGAAAATTTTTTTCAAAGTGTGTTAAATTTGGGACCAAATCAACGCACTTTGAAATTTTTTTTCAAAGTGCGTTAAGAGTCTACATCAATACATTTTACCATGGAGACACTTAACGCACTTTGAAAAAAAATCATATTTTATTCATGGAAAGATTTTATTTGTTATTTTTCTTTCAAAAAACTAAGACTAACCCTAACCTCAAAAATGAATTGATTTACTCCCGTCAAAAAGAGGAGAAGAAGGGTATAAGATCCCTAAGTCCAAATCTTTATCTTTCCAATACATAGGTGTCGGTAACAAACGGGGTAGGGGAGCTATAAACCTAGAAAGGGTATGCTGCATTTTCAATGTTTATACGATGTATATATCTTTCCAAAATAAGAGGAGGGGCTTAGCCCCCATCCCCTCCCCTGGCCCTTCGCCCAGTCTCGATGTCTATGCTATACTCAAAGCATTCATATAATTATGTATTTACCTAACTGGTATGACTTTGAAAACTTTCAATAATAAATGAGTTAATCAAAACAGATGAAAACTATAATTTTTTAAGTACAGTAAAACGTATGAGAGAGAAAGAATTTTCATAGTTTTGAACAATCAAATTGGCCCCTTTTTATTATGATAAATGATAAGTTGCTTGAAGCTGTCCTCTTTTAGTGCCCCCTATACACCTTAAACAACTACTTATCAAAGACTAGAATTAAAAAAAAAAGAAGAAACAAATTAATGAACTTAAACAATCGTCACTCTTTTTTTTCAAGACCCTTTAATTTTCCCTTTTATTTTATCAAAACTTTAAATATTTAAAACGTCAATATCTCAGGTCCTACAGTGACTTTATCATAAAAAAGTTATAAAACCAGGATCTGTTATCTATCATACTGATTATTTGAAGGAATATTGATCTATCTTTACATTTTTTCAAAGTGTGTTAATATGGTCGATATTAACGCACTTTGAAAAAAAAATATTTTTTTCAAAGTGCGTTAGCTTGGTCCCAAATTTTAACGCACTTTGAAAATTTTTTTTCAAAGTGCGTAATTTTTCAAAGTGCGTTGTAACATTGCATTATTAAAAAAATTCTCGTCCTCTAGTGAGATAAACAATGAACCATTTCAAAAAAAAAAAATTACGCCCTTTTTCATTCGATTTATTGTTACATACTAATATTTATATTTAAATCTTTCATTGATGGTAGATTTTGTGCCGATGTAATTAAAAAGTTAAAAAAATTTGTAGTGTCGTCAGATGAAACCCGGA